ACGATTGGTCTACTACATTTGGACTGATACAGGTTTTATATTTTTTGTATGTATTTTGGTAGATATTCTCTCATGCAAGGCAGCCTTTTTAATTAACATATTTATATATGTACTAGTCCATAATGAAAAGAATATGTCCACCCAAAGCTGGTAATTCAGATTTGGGTATGCTTTAGAATGCCAAAACATTGTAGGATAGCTTACATACTGTACATTAATAAAAAATGGCTGATACCCTTGCACTACTGCCTACAGGGGTGTGGAAATTTTTGAAAAAACTACTTTTCTAGGGACTAATCGGTGCCCCAGTCTACTTGTCCCTCATAACAATCTACTTGTCCTAATAAAAAAAACATAAATCTTAACCAAAACCGTATTTAAATTTGCTTTAAGTAATGACTGGGGCTTTTAAAAACAAAAGGGGCTTTATGGTGACTTAAACGTTTAATATTTTTAACATTGCGCTGTTTATCTCCTCCTCCCCTCCCTGCCTCTCTCCAGCACTGCACTCAGGAAATAGCAGGGAGGAGAGAGACCTTGCAGTGTATTGAGCAACGATTGGGTGCTCGTCAGGAAAGGGGGAGTGTCGGGCTTATCCTTTATACTTTTCGCTGCCAGAGCTGCTTTTGCATTTTTTGCACACGTTTTAAAAAATAACTTAAGGCCTGAAGATGACACAAAACCGCCAACATTATATATTTTCTGAAATCAGAGATCCTAGAGAATAAAATAGCGGTAGTTTAAATTTTTTATGTCAAACGATATTTTCACAAAGGTCTTGGAAACACAAAATTTCAGTAAAAAATACACTTAAGTTAATTTTAGGGCACAAAAAGCAATAAATGATCCAATTTTTTGTAAAATATAAAAGACGAGGTTGCATCAAGTAAATAGATATTCAACATGTCAAACCTTAAATTTTCATGCACTTGTGAAACGGCAACAATCTTTGGTAACCCTATATTTTCTATAGGTGGCGCTTTTAAAGCCCCTTATAGGTCATCAGTTTAGCGTTACGGAGGAGGTCTGGTGCTAGAATTGTTGCTCTCATCCTAGCGTTCGCAGTGATATTTAGCATGTGTATCGCAATTAATGTGCTTATGTGTAGGTGCCCCAGCGCGTGCTTTTATGTTTGTGCGTATGTACATATGTGGGGGTGGGGGCCTTGAAAATTTTTTTTGGGGGGGTTATATGCTTGGATGTAACTTCCATTTTTTTTTTTTAAATAATTTTTCTTGACTTTTTTAAAAGACCCTGGATATCTCCCCTGTGCTCCCCTGAATGTAATGAAGTGCACATCACACCGCATTACATTATTTCTCGGCCTCAATGACCGTGAATCTGTCAAACAGGCACCCAGGAGTGACGTCACATCACTTCCGGGTCAGGACAAGAAGGGGAGGGGTGCGGTTGTATCTGCTCTCCTCTCTCCCCTATACCACATCCCGCCGGCACCCACTGAACCAGTCCCAGGCCCACAGATAGGCAAGTGGAGCCCAGGACATATAGCTGGCAGAAGGGAGAGGCTGGCACCGTGGGCTGTATGGAAGCAATCCGGCGGCAGCGCTGCCATCCGAATACTTCCACCTGACAAGTGAGCCCTGCTACTTGCCCTGTTTGGCTCCCAGAACTGCATATCCCGGGCGTCAGGCGATATGAATTGTACATCCCTGTGCCTATCAGTATGACCACTTTTGTTCAGGACTTACCATCCCAAATTAAAGAATTGAATGATCAGTGTTGTTATGGGAGCCTAACCTCAGTATTCAGTCCAAAACCAAAGACTGATGTAATGTCTTTGCTGTTGAACAGCCGAAGCTTTGGTCTTGTGTTGACGACATCAGTTTGAGATCAGTTTTCCAATGCCTCTGAGATAAATATAGTTATAGTTCATTGCGAGACTCATTTGACCTACAGTTGACCTCCTTCTGACATGCATTTGATCTGCTTCATAGAGAATTGTTCAGGAAGGCAGCACTTATCTGACGTGAACAAAGGCCCATTGACACATGCCTAAAACTAGAGCTAACCGCACAATGAGTTATCAGTGACAGCTTGTGACCGCATCAAAATAAGTTTACAGTTGCAAGCAAGAAAAAGTATGTGAACCCCTTGGGATTACGTGGAGTTTTGCATGAATTGGGCATAAAATGTGCTCTGAATGTCATCTAAGTCACAACAATAGAAGAACACAGTCTGCTGAACATTATACTACACACACATTAGATGTTGCCATAGTTTCATTGCACATAATATGTAAACATTCACAGTGCAGGGAGGAAAAAGTATGTGATCCTTTGGACTTAATAACTGGTTGACCCTCCTTTGGCAGCAATAACCTCAACCAAACGTTTCCTGTAGTTGCAGATCAGACCTTCACAACGATCTGGAGTTATTTTGGACCACTCCTCTTCACAAAACTGTTTCAGTGTAGCAATATTCTTGGGATGTCTGGTGTGAATCGCTCTCTTAAGGTCATGCCACAGCATTTCAATCGGGTTGAGGTCAGGACTCTAACTGGGCCACTCCAGAAGGAGTATTCTGTGCTGTTGCAGCCATTGTTTTGTTGAATTACTTGTATGCTTTGGGTCATTGTCCTGTTGCATCACCCATCCTCTGCGGAGCTTCAGTTGGCGGACAGATGGTCGTACATTTTCCTGCAAAATGTCTTGATAAACTCTGGAATTCATTTTCCCATCAATGACAACAATCCGTCCAGGCCCTGAGGCAGCAAAGCAGCCCCAAACCATGATGCTCCCTCCGCCATGTTTTACAGTGGGGATGAGGTTTTGATGTTGGTGTGCTCTGCCTTTTTTTCTCCACACATAGTGTTGTGTGTTCTTCCCAAACAACTCAATCTTGGTTTCATCTGTCCACAGTATATTTTGCCAGTAGTGCTGTGGAACATCTAGGTGCTCTTTTGCAAACTTCAAACGTGCTGCAATATTCTTTTTGGACAGCAATGGCTTCCTCCGTGGTGTCCTCCCATATACTCCATTCTTGTTTAATGTTTTCCTTATTGTAGATGTGTCAACAAAAATGTTAGCATGTGCAAGAGATTTCTGTAGGTCTTTAGCTGACACTCTGGGATTCTTCTTTACCTCATGCAGCATTCTGCGCTGTGCTCTTGCAGTCATTTTTACAGGACGACCACGCCTAGGAAGAGTAGCAACAGTGCTAAACTTTCTCCATTTGTAGACAGTCTGTCTTACCGTGGACACATGAACATCAAGGCTTTTGGAGATACTTTTGTAACCCTTTCCAGCTTCATGCAAGTCAACAATTCTTGATCGTAGGTCTTCTGAGAGCTCTTTGCTGTGAGGCATGGTTCACATCAGACAGTGTCTTAAAAAAACACACACCTGTTTTGGGTTTACTGGTTTCAAGGGCAGGACAGCTGTCAGCAACACTTCCAATGTCATCACACTGATTGGAGTCAAGGTTGGCTCACTCCTGGCTCCAATTAGCTCTGGGAGAAGTCATTAAGCTAGGGCCTCACATACTTTTCCCTCCCTGCACTGTGAATGTTTACATGTTATGTGCAATTAAACCATGGCAACATCTACTGTTTTGTGTAGTATTATGTTCAGCAGACTGTGTTCTTCTATTGTTGTGACTTAGATGACGTTCAGAGCACATTTTATGCCCAATTCATGCAAAACTCCACGTAATCCCAAGGGGTTCACATACTTTTTCTTGCAACTGTATATTATCCACATACAAACCTATGCTAACCATACACTAGCTAAAAAATAGTTCAAACTTGTTTCCGAATAATGTATGATTGTGAGAGCATACATGTAATGTATTGACCGGATTTTGTTTGATAAATTGTTCACTTTGTCACATATGTGCAATAAATTGTTCACTTTGTCACATACGTGCAATATGAACAATTTCATTTTTAACTACTTGCAGATCAGCATCATACCTGTATGCCACTGGCCTTCAAGCAGTTATACCAGTATGATGCCTGCAGCTGCAGGCATCACCTCGGTACCGTTTTTTTAGAGCCAGCGGTTGGCTGTCCTGTCCTGTAAAAGCAATCGGACTAACTGGTAAGCTAGCCACTAAATTGCTTTTACAATTGTCTCCTTCTGCCAATCTCTCAGGCTCTCCTGTCCCACTGGGAGACCCGAGTGACCAGCCAGCACTTCCACTGGATCAGCTTTGATCGGCTGTCCACTATAGTAACCCATATGCGATGACCTGACATCACTTCCAGTTTATAAGGAACTTAAAGGAAATTAAATTTTACGTGCAGAGGAGGGATTTGGGGTCTTATTGCCCCTAGATCTCTCCATAAAGAGTGCCTGTCACGTGCCCATTGCACAGGCCTCTGCAATTTTAACACATGACATCTTTAGTATCTATTTACTCGGTGTAACGTCATCTTTTGCATTTAAAAACAAATTGAGTTATGTATTGTAGGTTTATTTGCATTAAAGTTCAGTATTTTTTCCCAAAAAACTGCATTGAAAAATTACCATGACATAAAGAATTGCAAAACCTGCCATTCTATTCTCTAGGGCCTCTGCTTTAAAAATATATGTTTGGAGGTTCTAATTCATTTTCTAGCAAAAAAATACTGATATTTACATGTTAACAAGTCTCAGAAAAAGGCCTGAAGGTCAAGTGGTTAATGGGTGAGAAACACACTAACCTTTCAATTTATCATTTGTTCAGCAGAACCTGTTCCTTTTATTTACTTATTTATTTTTTTGTTAGTTCTGAAAAATCAAAAGAGATTTTCTATTTGTTCCCATTAAATGGACAAAAAAGTAACGAACGGTCTAAATGATGGATTTTCTAACGATTTTTTATCTAGTGTATGGGGAGTATTAATCTTAAATAATCTTGGTTATCCATACTTAATTATTATTGTTTTTACTATTGAACTTATTTTCTCTGTCACTCACTGAATCTAGCTATATTTTGTTTCTTACTAGATGGAAATATGTTTGCAAGATCAGGTGGTAATCCTTGATGAAGGCCACAATATTGAGGACTGTGCTCGTGAATCTGCCAGCTTTAGTGTGACAGATGCACAGCTGATGTTTGCTCGAGATGAGTTAGACAGCATGGTGAACCATGGGATCAGAGCAAGTGATCACGCACCTCTTCGGGGGGTGTGTTACAGCTTGACAAAGTAGGCTGATACATGTAAAAATATATTGTACTTTATGCCAGCAACTGTACATTGTTTACTGTTTATAATGTGGGATTTTTGATTTTTATATATTCATGTTCGAAGTATTTATGGAACGTCGGGGAAATAAACCGGGACCTTTTTAATGAATAAAACAGTGTAAATTGCAGCACCATATAGCAGCTAATTGTCTCTTAGTTTTGTGAAACAAGTTCATAAATGTTTTTTTCTGATTGGTTACTAAAGGGTTAGTTGCTGCTGAAGAATAGTTGCTTTTCCTTCAGCTATGCTAACTTGTAAATGCCACTTAGAATCCACTCCAGACCTTTTACCTGCTTAATTTATGAAGAAATAACAAAGGAGTAGCCCACACCTGGCCATGAAACAGCTTTTCAATTGTCCAAGTACTTTTGGTCCCTTGAAAAAGGGGGGATGGCTGTTTCTCAAGAGCTGTAATTCCTAAACCCTTCCTCCAATTTGGATGTACATACCCTCAAATTAAACCTGAGAGTATGCACTTTCAGCCCATATATCTATTATATAACTATAGTTTGAATATGTTTTAATTAATACCTGACAAAACTAAAATTGTGCCTGTGTCCAAATATATATGGACCTAACTATATATTTAAAAAATATCTTAAGCCATTGTGTTAGGAGTAGGGAATGATTAAAACCCTTGTCGTTATTATTTTTGCCATCTCCTGATGTTTTATCTTCTCTTCCTGTCCTGTAAAAAGAAACTGGAAGTGAGAGGAAATCCTTTTAAAATGACTCACATCCCCATAAATGCGGGTTTGTTCTCCACTCAAAATTTTGAAATGTTACTCACTTTCAGTATCAGTGAAAGTGGTCACCAGGAAAAAATAGAGTTAATCTCCCCAGCAGGGATACAGACAATGTTAACATTTTGAGAAGGATTCTAACTCCTCACCATGTTAGACATATATTTTTTTACTATACTTTAACACCAGAAAACATTAGATGAAAGTTTTTGTGTGAAACGTTTCCTTGTGTAAAAGGGTTTTGGCAATAGGTATATACAGCTACATGGGTGATTTTTCAACTCTGCAATTAACACTTTGCTCCCACAAACAGTTGACATCACCACATCTTTTAATGGAGACATGTACAATTCACAGGATCTGCTAAGGCAATTCTGACCTTTAAGAAATGTTTGTGACCACTCGCGCCATACCTGACAGGAACTTAACGGAGTGCTAAGATGTTGAACCCATTTTTAAAGATGCAGGAAATCTTTAATTTCCTATATAGAACATTCCAAGATTGAGATTATTTATTTTTAAATATTGTTTTAATGAGAAAAACAGTGCAAGAAAAATATTTACAATGGAAGAATATGAAGAAAAAGCAGATTGTAGCAATATGAAAAAAAGCAGGATTAGAAATAAAAAGGACATGACAACATTTGCCTGGCATTTGTTTCCTGAATCACTGACCCTCAGACATGACTCTCCGCATTCTAGCATAGTTCTGGTGGAAAGCAAGAGCTGCAACTGCCAATTGGAGCATTTTTTTGTTGACTCCCCAGAGGATGTTCCTTGGCAAACCCCATCAATTCAAAAAAAAACTGAGGGGTGTGATATAAGGGTGCTCAAGTATTTTTGACACTTCCTTTTTGCCAGATAATCAAGGTCTATATTTCCAGATGGCATAGTTTTACAGTCTTGCAACCAACAAATTATTAAATAGAAAAAGATCTGTTAAAGACCAAACATGATATAGATGGAATGCAATGATCATTTAGGATATTTTCAGTGTTTTATTCACCCTTCGTACATTATAGCATAAGCATGTTTTGTGTCAAACCGATTATTACTCTATTATACACGTGTAAACAGTTAATATTAAAGTAGTACCATCATAGCATTAATCATAGAACTTGTTTGAAACCTAACTACGGGCAGCTCATCTGTATGCTGCAATAGATTACTAACTCTGCTTTTGCACAGAGTGACCCTGAACCTCCTTCTCTGGGATCCTCCGTCAACCCTGTCTACTCCCCTTTTTGCTCTGAGTGTCCCCACAGCAAGCCGCTGGCTATGGGGCACTCATATGAGCTCACTCCTGAGCTGGGCTATGTGGGCCTATAGACATTAAATAGTGTGACCAATATAGTATTGAATTGATCCTTCACTAACACTGGTGGGTATATCATTCTTATAATTACGTAAAATTGTACAGAAAACCGAAAACAATGGGACTTTGATTATACATCACCAGTGTTATAGAAAGCTAAATATTACATAAAAAAATATTCATTTTATTATACAAAATAAAATAAAATTCAGTAGAAAAATACTATATCACGTCACATATAATGTTCTAAACATAGGAGCTTCTATCATCTCGTTTACGCGTTTCACTGGTTCACATACCACTTCTTCAGGACATTAGTTTGAAGCAGTTTACATAATATTAAATTCATCTGAAAATAAAATATATAATAAGTATACAATAAACACGGGTTTTAGCAAAAGTAAGCGCAGCAAAGGGCAGCAAAAAAAAATATACATACAAACAATAAAACTGACCTATTCACCATACAACAAAAACTAAAAATATAAAGCAAGTCAGGTGCAGAGTTGAGCTCCCACTGGGTCCTTCCACCTAGACTGTGGGATGGCAAAAAGCAGTGAGTCAACTGTCTATGTAGAGTGTGGGTAATGGTTTTACCACATGGCTGAAAATAGATATGAACAAAGAAAAAAATGAATAGTAAAAAATTAACAAATCAAATTTAAAGAAAACACTAAAAGAAAAAGAAAGGTAGTAGTAAAATGTCCCACCAAACATCTCAAAATATCTTTCACAGATGATAGCGCAATGGCACTGGTGTGGAGGTATACCAAGGTAGATCAAATGTATGTTTGCCAAAAGCACGATTTCCAATGCCTTAAGCCCTATGTAACAGATAAGATAAATTTATATACTAGTAACCTATAGTAGCTATATCCATAGAAAACCCAAAAGACAAATCTTAAAAAGAAAAAAAAAAGCCACTTACATATAGATACTCTGTCCACAAAAAAACTGATCTGTTACATCTCTCCAGCCATGTGGTCCTGGGCATAAGATGGTCACCAGAGAGCGCAATGGCAATGATGTGAAGGTATACCAAGGTAGGTCAGAGATATCTCAAACAAAACACTATCTCTATCTAATGTTTCAAACTCTCTATAATAGATACGATAGATATATACTAGTAATCTATAAAAGCTATGTCCATAAAACAACTAAAAAAACTCTAGACCAGGCATGTCCAAAGTCCGGCCCGCGGGCCATTTACGGCCCGGGGGTCGGTTTAATACGGCCCTCCAACAGCCCTCCCTGCTCTGTGTAATGTGGCCCTCCCACGGCCCTCCCTTCTATGGCAGACCGTCTTCTGCTTGAGAGCAGAGGGCAGTGCGCATGCCTGACTGCGGCACGTTCTCCCTGGTCTGTGTAAATGCGGCTGTCGCACGGCCCTCCCTTCTGTGGCAGACAGTCTTCTGCTTGAGAGCAGTGCGCATGCGTGACTGCGCCGCGCTGGGAGCGACAGAGGGCGGTGACGTCAGGGCCGGGCTTCCAGCGTGAAGTGTGTTTTTCTTCCCCTCCCGGCTGCCGAGCAGAGACTTCAGCTCCAGCTACCTTTTTCACCCTTCACATTAGTGCAGGTAAGTTTTTTTTTAAATTTATTTTCAATACATTGTGAAAACTCAGCTGTCAGTTGATCTTAATGTTATGAAATGAAAAGTATGTCATTTGCAATTAACTTGGCATAAAATAATTTATTTGCATTTAATTGTAATGGTTCAAAGAATGTTCGGAAAAATGTTCGGCCCTCCACCATGTTCACTTCATCCAATCTGGCCCTCTTTGAAAAAAGTTTGGACACCCCTGCTCTAGACACACACACAGTGCAGCTCGACCCTGCCCCCTCCCTCCTTACATAACTTGATTGACAACAGCAGGAGCCAATTGTGCCTACTGCTATCCCTGTGCCTTTGAAAGAGAGAGCGCTGCTGCTCTCGGGCACAGTGCTGGATCGAGATAGGTAATCATGGAAGGTTGTTTACTTTAATGCAGAGACTTAAATAAGTTAAAAAATAATCTCATGCCTTAAGAACAATGTTGAGTGTTTAGGAATACTAAATGAAGGGGTCACCAGTGCTCAGACCTAATGTGTTATATCTAAGTGCTTATTAATACTTTTTATTTTTATGTTATTCTAACCGGTAAATATTATACATTTTCTGTATTTGCAAGTTGGATAAAGGAATGTGCTGACCAGCTAGTGGAAAGAGAATATGAATCATCTTGTAAAGTGTGGAATGGCAATGAGATCATTTCAGTTTTTCACGATATGGGCATAACAAATGCAACATTTCCTATGCTTAAGGTAGGTTTGTGAAACACATTATTTGTAGTAACATAATATAATAAATTGTAAGACTTTTACCAGATTTGCTTATATGTGGTTGTCACATGTCACTTAATGGGTTATTTTAAAAGAATCTGAAAATAAACTGATTGTGATGGTTATCCATAGTAGATGTGATATTCTGAGGTTCTGACTCACCAGCCCTCCGACTTTGTAAAATTAAAGTATCTTTTATTTTTCCAAAACAAGCCTGTCAAGTTTAAGCATTTTCCGAACCGCCTCTAATACTGCTTTTCCGTGTATCTTGGGAATGCGGTAGGGTTTTACTCGAACCTTCATTTTAGTCTCCTTGATAATGTCATGCTAAATCACACTGGTAAGAGCTGACAGTCCTAAAAAGGGCAGCATACATATGTTTGTTTGTAAAACCAATATTGTATGTGCATATTGCTAAAACAGATAAATGTTTAAGCTTAAAATGAAAGTTATTAAAACTGATCCACAAACAAATGTGAAAAATCCTATTAGGAATTTAAATATTTTAAGTGCCTTGTTGTAAATTATGTCTTATTAAGTGGCTTCATTTTGCCTCTCCTAGGGTTTGTCTGTTGAACCCTAAGTTTAGTCAAAATTAAAAAACAAAAAAAACAAACAAAAGACAAAAATCAGCATGAGGGAAATGGCTTACTATTAATCCGATGTGATCCTTGTGCTGATAGTTTATGGATTCCCTGAAATCTTTATCCTCTTCTGTGTACAGGGTGCGCTCGCCCAAGCCTGCCGACTCCCGCTGTGATTAGACACAGTGGGATTTTGTCAGCAGGTCCAAATGATTCAAGGCCAGGACCTGCTGACTGGCTGTGTCCAGTCGCAGCCCAGAGCACTGTGTTCAAATCAACACAGGGCTCTGTACTGAGGGAAGTTCTCTTTGTTTCTTTTCCTTGTAAAGCAGGGAGAAGTAACAAAGAGATGTTTTGTAAAAAGAAGCACATAATACACACATTAACACTTGTTAGGCACACATTTAAACCCTTGATTGCCCCGAGATGTTAATTCCTTCCCTGCCATTGTAAATATCAGTGATCACTATATTAGTGTCACTGGTGATGTCTGTGTCAGTCAGTTCCTAACCAGTGTCAGATTGTCCACCATGCTATCAATATACACTTGGGATTTTTTTTTTCACCAAAGACATGTAGCAGAATACATTTTGGCCTCAGTTTCTGCTGAAATTTAATTTCTTAATTCTTTTATTGGCTGTTTTATAGCAGAAAGTAAAACATATTGGGTGTTTTCCCCCCCAAATTTTTGTTTTTTTTTCGTTTGTGTAATAATAAACAAAATACCTAGTGGTGATCAAATATACCACCAAAATGAAGCTTCTATTTGTGTGGAAAATTTATACAAATTTCATTTGTGTACAGCGTTGCATGATGGAGCAATTACTAGTTAAATAATGTTGTGCTAAATAGCAAAAAAGGGTCTGGTCACAAAAAGGTTAAAACCTTCTAGAGCTGAAGTGGTTAATACTCGATGTGTCGGAAGACTGCACAATTGTGTGGATGTGGGTGGGGGGAGTCTTGGAAGATGAAGATTTAGAGATATCCAGGAGCCAGCTGCACAAGAGACACTTCAGATTAATAGTCATGTCTATTGTACTTATTTTTGTTTATTTTATTTTGGGTGAATTTAGGCTTTAAAGCTGAACTCTAACTGGATTTTTGGTGTGCTTTGTGTATTTCTTTCTTTTCAGGTCTGTGCAGTAAACCAGCATGCATCTTTATCTCTGTGCAGGAGCGTCTTTTAATAAAGACCAGTGACTGCTACTCTTTCCTTGTGCAAGGTGACTGGTTTTATATGTGGCAACCTCCTGTATTTTTCTGCAAGCAGCCTGCAGTGGGCAGACCTTTTTGATCCCTCCACAGCTCCACTCTCTGTAAAGGCTATGTGCAGCACAGGGATGAGGTTACTGCTACTTTTTCAAAGTAATATATGAGTTTGCAAAGGCAATTGATGTACACAAAGTAGATTTATATCTTTTGTGGGAATTGAAGAATATTTTAAAATAAAGCTCATCTTTAATGTATCTGTCATTTGCATATAAACAGAAAATGTTTTTCTCTTTTCTTATTTTGCTGTAGGGTAATCTTGCAGCTGTGGTTGAGAAGGAGGAAAAGACAACTATGCTTAATGGTCAGGAAACTGTAGTGAAAGTGCCAGTACTCAGCTCTAAAACGCAAATGGTCTTGAAAGGGTTGTTTGTTGTGTTAGATTACTTATTCCGCCATAATAACAGGTTAGTGTCAGCTGAATATATTGTGATAAAGGGAATGTCACAAACATGTTGTCATGTGTGCCCACATTTTGTATTCCGATTTCCGCTCTGCTAAATAATTCTGTTATTGGTGCATTTCCATGGTGATATTTATTTTTCTTTAAAGGCTAAGTTCACCTTTTGTAACATGTTACATGTTCCACCTGTATTCCGGGTGGAAAATGCAACATGTTCCAGCTACAGTCGCCAGTTTTCCTGATCCCCACCCTGTATGACAGCAGGTGGAGAATCTAGTCCTAAATGGGCATTTAAGACTTGCAATGTGGGGAAGGGCAGAGCCCCACTGCAAGTACATTTTTTTTTTTACCCTGAAATTCAGTTGTAAATAAATAAAAACTATATAAAAATATGTCTAAGTTGCCCATTTAGTAGCATGTATGTGGAATTAATTGTAGTGCTGGTATCTATGGGGCACAGTGGTTTATTGTATATTGTCGTGTTTATGAGAACCCCTATTTATAGAAACTCACTGTGTGCCAAAGTTTTCTTTATGTTTTTATGCCATGCATGCAGTGTGGTGAAACTTCAAGCTTTGTTTACATATTGCCTATAGGAGGTCTGTATCACAGTGTCAGAGTGTCCTATGGGTAAAGGACTTGCAAGTGCTGAAATACCAAACGTTTCAACTCCCGTTTAATGATTGCTGAATTTTGACAGTGATCAAAGTATTGTTGCAAAAGCACTGCTGTTTTGTAAAAATGTTCTTCCTTTTACTCTTACTGCAAAAGCCTTAGAAGTTCATGATGAGCCTTTCATAGAGAAGAAATGTACTCCACACAAAACATCTCTAGTTTGAGTGTGCACAGGGTCGCCATTATCATTGACTCTGTCCACTCTGTCTTTATGTGAAGTAGGAAGATTTGTTGAGGAGGATGGTAGCCTCCCTAGCAGTCTGATTATGTCAGTATTTCTGTGTTCAAAGCGGTACATTTTTTTGCATGGAAATATGTAGTTTTTTTATTGTAGGCCTGTAATTTTTAGGAATAACTCACTGAAATCTGTCCGAACAAGAGTCTAGCAAACATCCCGGGTATGTTAAAATTTGAAACACGAAATCATAAATTATAATTTAATAAATAATCATAAAAAAATAATAATATAATACATTTAATTCAATAATATAATCAAACCAAAAACACTGAAATTTGAAATAGAGCGCCAAGTTCGCACATCACTGAGCTTAGTCTCAAAATTGTTTTCAGTGTCTGATGACAAATTTCCCCACGAATCATCACTCAATTCTGCAAGTGGTTCTGATTTACTATCGCTGTTCTCTAGCTGGTCTAAAACCGCTTTTGACCTAAAGGGACGCTTTTTGGACGCCACGGCCATTTCTCAGCTTCCAGCCAGAAAGAACAGTAAAAATGCAGGCAGGGCACAGGACAAAGCACTAGGGACAAAATGTATGTGAAATGGTTTGATACAGTAATGTTTTACTATGTGATTTTAGTGTATTAAGTGAATGTCACTTTTTGACATTTTTAAATTTCCCTCCAATTCCGTCCCCATACGTCCCAACAGAACGGAACCCCGAAGACAGATGCCAGAATCGGCCGGAGGACATGGCCAGGGACACTGCAGGGGGGGCAACGCGGGAGCGCAGGACAAGGTGAGTGATCGATGGATCCCGGAGCAACGCTGCAAGGTATTTCCGAGTGTATCTTGGGGTTACCGCTTGTGGTGCTGAAACTTTACCCCGAGCTACACTCGGGAATACCTGCAGGGAGGGACAGCAGCTTTGAGATCACTTGTAGTTGTCGCCTCAGGGATACCCTATTTTTTAGTATTATTTTTGTGAGTCAGATTCTCAAGATCATTGTGCAGATCTTGTAGATGGAACTGTGTAAGATGATGGGCCTGTTGAGATTATAGAGTCTCAAAGCAGGAGAACCTCTTTATCATGGCATCCATAATCAGATGTAAGGACAGACAACTGGGTCAGTATTTGTGAGGCAGTATATCTCCTCCATATCCTTACAGAGAGACAGGGAGAGTAAGATAGCAGACATCTCTATGGGGAAGAGCACAGGAACTGTGGGCTGTGTGAGGGGCTTCTCTTGTCACCATCTTGATAAAGAACATTTCTGAGCCAGGCCTAAACAATCGGTCCCACTGGACATCTGAGGAACTAGAAATACATCCTTTGAAGGGAGAATGGGTTCGTGTAGGCTATCTCAAGTAAAAAGATCTTTGGGACATCTGCATTAAGAATTCACAGTGGCTGCCGTAGTGTTGCAGTCAGAGCAAAGATCTTCGATGGTTGGAGTCCGTAAAGAATCCATGTAGAATGCAGTCTGTTAGTGCTCTTAGGTGTTTTCCCCTTCCTTGGCTTGTCACAGTACTCAAGGAAAGTGGCAGCAGATACAGAGCTCAGCACTGATGCGACTTCACTTCCATGTCCAGGCTAAGATCACAACTGTGTAGTTTTTGAAGAATAAAACATACCTCGGTAGTCCTGACTTACTAACCACTGCAGGAGATTTTTAAAGTGTTAGTGTGGGCACTTCTGTGTGAGTGTAATAAATCATGTACATATTTCTATAGATTTGCAGAAGATTACAGAATTGCTCTGCAGCAGTCTTACACATGGACAAACAGACAAGATGTTGCTGATGAAAATGGCTTCTTTGCAAGACCAAAAAATCGTAGAAGTGTCTGTCAGAAGACCTTGGTTTACACACTGAATTTCTGGTGTTTAAATCCTGCTGTGGTAACTTACACTCAGTTTCTTCTTCTAATGCTCCGTGCTGTCTACCTATACTGTTTTTTTTTTTTGTTTTAATTATAAAAAAAAGAATATATGGTGATTCCATTATAGACTTTTGCGCTAAATTGGATGCTATACTTGAAAAGCCACACATAACCAATTCTGTTTGGAGCTCCAGCATGGCATTTACAGCCTTTGCAAGAAGGCATGGCATATGGCTGGAACGAGCTACCTACACCAGGGGTCAGCATCCAGTAGACTGTGATCCACCAGCAGATCTCGGCCAGGTGGCTGGTAGATCATGGTAAGGGCTTGCTGACCCACCATCCCAGAGCATCAAACAGAGTGCATTGCAAAGGGACTACTTGTAATGTTGGAGCTGTAGTAGGGAGCAAGAGCCACATAGGTAATGTCTCCTCTGTAGTTCTGGCTCCTACGCCCTGTCATGGTTGGTGGGTGTAGCACCTGCCAAGCATGACCCATTTAAGTGAATGAGGCTGCTCTGCAAGTACCCTGCAAACTTGTGCAGTATCACAAACAAGGGGTTAAACAGGCAGCGGTGTGCTGCTTTCTTACCACCCGCTTTAATCCTCTGGACCCCGCAGAAGCATGCTTTTGCAGGGCACTTACAGAGTGGCTCCATTTACTTGAATGGGTCTCGACTGACAGGCGGTAGTACCCACCAAGGGCAACAGGGGGTGTAATTCCTGCTGCTGCATGTGTATACCTTTGGCTGCTGGCTGGGTGGTAAAACCATGACTCAACCTGAAGAGTTTTACCACCCCCAACTTTACATGTGAACGAGCCCTAAGAATGCCTTCTGGACGGAATTATGGGCTCATTCACAAGTGCAGCAAACACTGCTGCTCCTCTTCAAAGCAATCCAAGCGTTTTGACAGGTGGTGAAGAGGCAATATGTTACCCTCCTCAACACCTGATTTAAACCCATGATTGCTGTGCAATGCATGTGATTGTGACATAGTAGTACAGCAATTAGAGATTTAAATCAGATGTGAGGAGGTGACAATGTGCCTGGTGATCTTTGACTTCTCTACCTGTTCAGGTAGATCTCCACCTCTTGCCAACCCCTAACCTACACAGCTGGTGAAACTCAAAAAATTAGAATATCGTGCAAAAGTTCATTTATTTCAGTAATACAACTTAAAAACTAATATATAAAATATAAATAAAAACTAATATATGAGATAGACTCATTACATGCAAAGCAAGATAGCTGAAGCTGTGATTTGTCATACTTGTGATGATTATGGCTTATAGCTCATGAAAACCCCAAATCCACTATCTCAGAAAATTAGAATATTGTGAAAAGGTGCAATATTCTAGGCTCAAAGTGTCCCACTCTAATCAGCTAATTGAGCCATAACACCTGGAAAGGGTTCCTGAGCCTTTAAATGGTCTCTCAGTGTGGTTCAGTAGGAAAACCTACGTATGTACAGGAATTACCACATCACCAAAACGACCCTCTTGGGTATGTCAGCAGACCCAATACTCCTGAGCTCTCTCCAATCACCTGGTACTCATAAGCAGCTGTTTCCACCACAGGATCATAGCAAAAGACAGAAGAGATCCTCCATAGTGTAAACCAGTAATTTTTTTGTTTTTAGGTCAAAACCTTCTGTGTGCAGCAGCCCCCCTAATACTCACCTAAGCCCCTTCTCAATCCAGCGATGTGCACTGGAGTCTCGGCTATCCCGGCACTCCCTCTTCTCATTGGCTGAGACAGAAAAGGGAGCCATTGGCTCCCACTGCTGTCAACCACAGCCAGTGAGCCAATGAGAAGAGAGAGGGGGAGGAGTCGATCCACGGGTCTGTGTGTGTGAATGGACACATGGAGCAGTTGGTGCCCCCTTAGCGAGGTACCCGACTGGAGTGAGGGGCCAGAAGAGCCTGCGTTGGACGGTACCCGAGAAGAGGAGGATCCAGGCTGCTCTGTGCAAAATCACTGCACACAGCAAGTAAGTATAGGCATGTTTGTTATTTTTTCTTAAAAAAAAAAAAAACAAGCCTTTAGAATCACTTTAGAGTAAGACTTTATATTGTCATTAGTAGTATCTTGGGGCTGACCTGAGTTTTTAACTTTAAACCTGTCATAATTGTTCATTTCATCGGCTTTTTATGAAGAACTTGAACCAGTGCTTCCTTTTAGTGCTTTTGAGGCTTTGTCAATTTGGTCCTTGAAAAATTTGAGAAGGGGTTGATTTACTAAAACTGGAGAATGCAAAATCTGGTGCAGCTCTGCATAGAAGCCAATCAGCTACCAGTCTTTTTGTCAAAGCTTAACTGAACAAGCTGAAGTTAGAAGTTGATTGGCTACCATGTATAGTTGCACCAGATTTTTGCACTCTCCATTTTTAGTAAATCACCTCCTATATGTTTAATTTGGTTTTATATGTGTTCAGTTTGTATAATTTTGTATAATTATCCTGTAATGCAACTCTGGTAATCTAAATGACTTATTTATTTGCAGTAAAAATCAATAGTAAACACTATTGTTTTGCACTGATCTGTTGACTTCCTGCCTCGCTGCACAAGCTCATTCTGCTTTACAGCAAACACATCATACTACATCAACAAACCAGTAGCATGCATATGTTTTGTCTACAGTGTTAAGTGTTGCATGTAATAAAAATAAAAACCCATTTCTCTGCCTTTGCTATTTTAGGCTTTTTCTGACCTAAGTGGCAATGTTCGCACAATTGTCCTGACATCAGGCACCTTATCTCCAATGGGATCATTTTCCTCTGAACTAGGTGTGAAGTTTTCTATCCAGCTGGAAGCAAATCATGTTATTCATAAATCCCAGGTGAGCTACTTTCTTCACACTTTCCCTTTGTCAGTACTTCAGTCTGTGAACAAGCATATTGCTGCACATTAATAGAATGTAAGAATGGAAACTGTCTGGAAGGTACACAAGTGGAAATGTAAACTTAGAATTTAGAAGACTTCATGTAGATCTAAATGAGCTTTGTACCAAGCAAATTGTTTGGTAGCATGAGATTGTACATCTTTACTCTGAAAGATGCTGTATCTCTTTTGAGTAGGTATGAAACCAAACTGATTAAAAATATTGAAATGTTTGTATTCATATATGTGTGCTTTATTATTGATTATCATTATTGTTTGTTCATTCAGAGACTGAAAAGTGTGATTTCAGAAATACAGCTTCTTTTAAAATTTCTTCCTTTGTACCATTTCTGCTGTTTTGTGCGTAACGTGGTCATATCTGTGTAGAATTCAGAAGCTAGCAGGTTGTTTTTATATGCCTGGCAGTAGAGGAATTTATTTATAATCGTCTATAGTAAGAACTGTTTTTGTTAGCCTTAACATCCCGTCACTCTCTTTTACAGCTTTTTCCGGGGGCATCTGTCTCTTTTTTTCCGGCAGTTGCCGGTTGTCAGCTGCACTTTCTTCACACTGTCACAGCGTGAGGAAAGTACTGCCAATAACCGGCACTTTTCAGAGGACGGATCGGCACCGATCATTAGGGCACTGATGATCGGTGCCCAGCAGTGCCGCCCAACTGTGCCCAGCAGTGCTCATCAGTGCCACCCACCTGTGGCCATCAGTGCCATCCATCAGTGGTGCCCAGCAGTGCCGTCAGTTAGTGCTGCCCAGCAGTGCCGCCTATCAGTGCCCATCATTGTTGCAAATCAGTGCCAGCTCGTCAGTGCTGCCTATCAGTGCCCATCAGTGCTGCCTATCTGTGCCACCCCATCAGTGCCGCCTATCAGTGCCCATCAGTGCTGCCTATCAGTGCAGCCTCGTCAACGCACATGAGTGGAGAAAAATTACCTGTTTGCAAAATCTTATAATAGAAACAAAGAAAAACTTTTTTTTTCAAATTTTTTATTTTTTTTGTTTATAATACAAAAAATAAAACACCCAGAGCTGAGGTTATACCACCAAAAGAAAGCTCTATTTGTGTGAACAAAAATTATAAAAAATTCATATGGGTACAGTGTTGCATGATCGCACTGAAAGCTGAAAATTGGCCTGGGTGGGAAGGGGGTATAAGTGCCCAGTAGGCAAGTGGTTAAATAATTTTTTCACTCAAATAGAACTTTCTTTTGGTGGTATTTGATCACCACTGGGCTTTTAATTTTTTTATTATATAAATGAAAAAGACCAAACAGTTTTGGGAAAAAAAAAAACACAAAACAATATTTCTTCATAAATTTAAGCCAAAATGTATTCTATATGTCTTTGGTAAAAAAAAAAAAAATCACAGTAAGTGTATATTAACTGGTTTGTGCAGAAGCTATAGCATCTGCAAACTATGGTATGTATACTGAAATATATGCAGTTCTAATGCTATACTAGTAATGTTGGTGATCATTGAGTTATAGTGGGACTGTGATAGTGCTGCAGGCATTCTGCCACTAGCTGACACTGGCTGGGAGGTACACTGACACTGATAGCAATAGTGACATTAATACAGCGATCAGGGCTAATAATGTACACTGTACTAATGGCACTGGCTGGGAAGGGATTAACATCAATGAGCAATCAAAGGGTTAACTGTGTGCCTAACAATGTGTAATGTGTGCTGCTTTTTCTTTACTATCTGGCTGTTATTTTCTCTCTGCTTTGCTGGGAGAAGAAACAGCCAGATAGCTGTTTCCTGTACACAGACTTCTGTGTTTTTGTAACACAGACAGAGCCAATCAGCTGACTTCAGCCAAACTCATTGGCTGAAATTAGCTACCAAACTTGTGCTGCGGATCCTTACATCCCAAACCCAGAAGAAGGCCGATCACGTACATGTACATGACTGTGCCTGCATCAGTCGCCCGCTCGTAGTATATTCGCTGTGAGAGTTCAGCAGGTGGTTAACTTTGTCCTAAATAAATAGTTTA